TCTTTCTCTTTCTCTCTTTCTCTTTCTCTCTCTCTCTCTCTCTCTCTCTCTCTCTCTCTCTCTCTCTCTCTCTCTCTCAGTGCAACGTAGTTCATAGGGTTGGCTGCAGTGGTGGGTTCTGGATCCCGTTACTACTGGTATAGTTACAACGGGTCCCGGCATCTACTACATGAATGTGCGCACATGCGTCCTTACCTCTTGCGACACCTCCATGAGCTGCTCTGTGCGCATGTGCAGAAGCGCCAAAGAGCTCAAATACAGGTTAGGAGCTCAGACGGAACGGTACCCGGTGCTCCAGGCAGGCACTGGTACGCCCGTACCACCTGCAACCACCACTGGTTGGCTGGTCTGGAAAACACAGAGAAGGGAAGGTTGTGTAATGCATATGTCTCCTGAAGAAAATATGAGATTCAACAAAAGGAGGATGTGGTATTTTGGCAGCAGTTGAAGAAAATGTTGCCTTATTCTCAAAACAGAAGAATCTTCAGTTCTCTAGAGTATACTGAGTCTTCATTTTTTCATAATGGATAACTTCTTTCATAACACTAAAAGTAAGTAAATGTTGAAAGCAAGTATGTGCATATCACCCAAAAACATACACTCGGGGGGATAATGTGAATCTCATTCCAGCTTTCTTGTTCAATAAAGTATTATGCTTCAGATGGTTTAGGACAGAAGTTTGATGTTCCACAATTACAGAAACATAGGAATCACAGTCAATTCATCTCAAAATCATGAAAAGACATTTATTTTTCTGCCAATACTCCCCAATATTTTTTTGCGGAAAGGCTTTCCTAAGGAAGATAGATAAACAGAAGAATCAGGAAAAATCTGACACATAGGCAATGGCACTTTGTCCAGCCAGACGACTTGCTAATAGTGTTTCTGCAGTGCAAAATGAAGCATTCATTTTATCTAATAGCTCCATACAAAATAGGTGTGGGCTAATTGACAGCGCAACATTCAATACATTTATTTCTAAAATTGTTTTTCCCAATGGGTTTGTGTTTTAATAAAACTGTAATTCAGATGAATAAATATAATATTAAGGGGAAATAAAGATTAATTCAAGAATCCACACTGACAAACATTGGCCATGTTTGCTTGCTGTTGTTGTTTTTGACTCACCTTTACAACATGACCATATATTCAATTTTTGTGTCTTGGCAACATCAACAGCTCCATACAGAGACGCTCGTTTTCCGTGCCTCTTTTTTTACTGTAGTGTTTGGTTCCTGAGGCATCATTTAGTGAACAGCTGTAATGGTGTACAATACAGAATTACAAGTATTTTAAAACAAAAGAGCAAGCATATGTGCCTATCCTTGAGGTGGACAAATCTTTAAATGTCATGTTGAGGTCTGTGGTGGTTCAAAAGCAAAGCAGTTTTCTTCATCTCATGTAACTCACCCCAACTTATCCTCTGCCCCAGATTTGATACTTGATATACACTGCCAACTGAAGAGTAAATCCAAGGGGAGAATCTATATGGTATATGGATGTGTTCTTTTATCTCTTTTTCTCTCTCTCCAAACATTCTTCTGGTTTTTCTCTTATTGCTTTATTTAATATTGATACTATCACCATCATAACTGCCAACACTAATACTACTAATAATATAACATTGGTACTGACAAATTTACTATCAGTCAATTGCAAAAGGCAGCTTTACTTGGAACAGCTTACTTATTGCGATGATATCTGTATGATATCTGATATCACCATCAAACAGCCACATCTGCTATCTCAGGTCCTTAGGAAAGAAAAAAATACCTAATCCGGACTGAACATCTGGCTGACTGTGCAACAACTCAGAATAATAATAATACACCACAAAGATTTGGTCTTTCACAGACCCATCATAAAGTCAGAATGAAGGCTGGGAATGTTTTTGGCTTTTATTTATGTTCTTTTTCTTACTATACTTACACTAAGGTTATTCTATTTTTGCCATTACTATGTTTTTAATATTGAATGTCAGCTGCTTGGAGCCTTTGGAGAGGGACAGAGTAAAAATGCAAGACAACAAATGAAAATTAAATGAAACATTAATATTTTAATATTAAAAATGCTCCTGAATGGAGTAATGGCTAAGTAGTAGATAGATAAACTTTTATTTCATTTTTATTGTTTTGAAGACTTCATAATTCTATGATTTTGTTTTCTCTTTAAAATAATCTCTTTAATGTGTTTATTTCTTCCACCTTTTAAAATATGTCAAGTTCATTAAATTGCCTTCCATGTATAAATCTGGTCCATCAAACCACAATTTGCACTGTCAGCTCCTGAGTGAAATCTATTGCAGCTACAGAGCTATCCCGCTTCTGCCTTTGTAGCAACTTTTAGACCACAATAACCATCATCACTTTTAAAAAGGCAGATCCATTACATTTCCTCTGTTCCTGCAGCCCCACATTAAGCTAATATTATCTATTTCCCAAGTGAAACAACCCCTTCCAGTCCTATCAATTATTAATTCGTTGCTTGCAGCTAATGTTTTGTTTGAATTATTTAAATGCATCTTCATTTATCAATAAACATAAAATGTTAAACAAAGAATACTGATGAAGGGCATTATTTAAACCATAACATTTTATGAGATTATTTCAAGTGCCTTTTTTGATTTATTAGCATAATATTTTTATAATTATTTTTTCATTTCTTAAAACAAAACAACAATGCCAAACAAAGCCTACACTTCTGTGTATTGCCAAGAGATCTGGAAGTTTACTGAGTGCTTTCAGGAATACTAAATTCTTCAATGGTTTCTTAAAGAGAATACAAAATATAATAGGGAGCAAGTTCCCCAATCTATTTGATGAGAAAATTCAAGTTATGGTTAAGACACAAAATGTATTTGCAAGAAAAAAGCTGCAAATTTGGGGAGTAGTTTTCAGGCTAAAATCTTTCTTTTTAACTAAACAATCTGTTGATGCAAGTGAACAAACTATTAATATCATTATATATTAGTTATGATTATAACAGATATGGGCTAAAGAATAAAATAACAATTCAGCTGTTACAAGTGAAAAAAATTGAATGAAATTGCACATGGTGCATCACAATATTTTCCTATTCTGTTTCATTGTCTAAAATGTTTTGTGGTCTTGGAAAAACTAGGTCCCAGTTTATTGTGTGAAAATTGTATTGCATAAAATTGTTCATTCTAGTCCAATTGCTTGTCAGTTTGTAAACTGATTTTAGTCCATGATATAAAAGATGAGTACACAAAATTAAGTAAATACCCTCTGATACTGAAGGTGCACTCCTTGTCCCTTCAATGAAACAATGCCTGCTCAGTAGTGATCCTTGTTTTATGGAATGACTTTCTTTCTGGTATTTGGTTGGTGCCAATCCTACTGGATTTAGGAAGGCTATCTAGACCTGGTGGTCAAGAAGACCTATTTTCACACAATAAACTGGGACCTATTTCTCTTAATCTTTGGGTTATCATATACTGGGACTTCAATTGGTTGATGATGTTACTAATGGTGTTGAAGGTCTTACATGTAATTTTGGGGGAAAAGAGAAACATTGGCTGGCAATCATGAGATAAGCTAAGGAGATGGAGACATATTAGATCCAGAGAAGATTCCAGAGAAGACTTATTCAGGCATGCGCATTTGAGCTCAAACATCATTGAAGCATTGAGGATTGTTTCTTTCTGATACAGAGAGCTCGAAGAGAGGAAGGCTGTGACCTGCCAGCCCAAGGAAGACTGGCAGTCTGCACAATTAACCCCCTTATTTAATTTTAAGTAGAAAGGCAATCTAGAAATAACAATGTTCACATTTAATCAGCACTGTAGATAGCACATATATTGAGTAGAGAGCTAGTTCATGTCCAAATGCTTGGATCAGTCTAAATCAAGCCTTAGGTCCATTATTTCACTACTATATACAACCACTATTAAACTACACTATTTACTACCCTGTTTTCCCCCAAATAAGACCTCCCCAGATAATAAGCCCTATCAGGCTTTTGAGCTTATGTGCTAAAATAAGCCCTCCTCCCAAAATAAGTCATTCCCGAAAATATTGCAACACAGCAGCAGCCATGAGATGACCATGTTTGCCACCTCCTGCACCTCAAAAATAATAAGACGTCCCTGAAGTCCAAGTGCTTATTTCAGGAGTCAAAAGAAAATATGACCCTGTCTTATATTCCGGGAAACGCTGTAGTACTGTTACACTTCACTAATGCTTATCAGAAAGAGTGGAGAAAGGGAGGAGAGTGAAGGAAAAAAAGAGTTTATTTGCCTGCAATCATAAAATGCTATCTGAATTGCTTTACATGCCAAAATAATTAAACTAACATGAAGATCCTATGTGTTTTCTGGGATCAGTGCATGGAAGCTTGTTAAGCCCTCATCACATTAACATTTGCCTTTGGTGCATTTTAAAGTTGCACAACTTTTTCAGACAAAGAATTGCATTATGTTTTGAGTGGGGTGGACCATGGAGAAAATAAACATGACTAGAAAAATATCCCAGATTTGATTGGATTTGATTTCAATGTTAAACAGAGTTAAAAGTTTAACTAATGAAACCTAGCCGTGATAAGTTTTCTGTCTACATTTAATACTTCATTACTTTTGCAACATTAAAAATTCTAGCTAGATGGCAAGTTTTGATACAAATCTGGTACCCAGCTGAGCACTTCTAGTATAACTTGTGTATATATATATATATATATATATATATATATATATATATATATATATATATATA